AAAAAAAGATAGAAGTAATTTGGAATTTTAAACGATTTTCTACTGCTACAACTAAGAAAATTAAGTTCTAGAATAAAGTTCTTTGTTGTTTACTACAGCTTAGCACTGATAAAAATATATCCATTATTAAAAATGTAACGACGGACCCAAAAATTGACCTAACTGATCTGGAATTGAAAACGACTGTTTATTGCTGCAAAGTCATAAATTAAGTTCTAGAAATTAAGTTATTTGTTGTTCACTATAGCTTGGCACTCACAGAAAAATATACAAAGCATCCCCCCAAAAAAGACAGAAGTCATTTGAAATTTAAAACGATTTTCTACTGGTACAAATCAGAAAATTAAGTTCTAGAATAACGTTATTTGTTGTTTACTACAGCTTGGCACTGCCAAAAACAAAAATATATCCATTACTAAAAGTGTAACGATGGACCCAAAATTGACCTAACTGATTTGGAATAGAAAGCAACAGTTTATAGCTAGACAAAGACGGAAATTAAGTTTTAGAATAAAGCTATTTGTTGTTCACTATAGCTTGGCACTCACAGAAAAATATATAATGCATTCATGACTAAAAGTGTAACGATGGACCTTAAAATGGACATAATTGATTTTTAAAAAAAGACTTTTTCTGCCAGCTGAGACGAATATTAAATTCTAGAATAAAGTTATTTGTTGTTTACTACAGCTTTCCACTCACAGAAAAATATACAATTCATCCATTATTGAAAGTGTAACGACTGACCCAAAATAAACCATAAATGATTTGAAATTTTAAACAACTTTCTACAGCTGCAAAGATGGAAATTTAGTTCTAGAATAAAGTTATTTGTTGTTTACTACAGCTTGGCACAGACAAAAAATATATAGATATTAAAAGTGTAACGACAGACCCAAAAATTGACCTAACTGATTTGGAATAGAAACAACCGTTTATACCTGCAAAGACGACAATTAAGTTCTAGAAAAAAGTTATTTGTTGTTTACTACAGCTTGGCCTTCACAGAAAAAACATACAATACATCAATTACTGAAAGTGTAACGAAAGACCCCCAAAAAAGATAGAAGTCATTTGGAATTTTAAACGATTTTCTACTGCTACAACTGAGAAAATTAAGTTCTAGAATGAAGTTATTTGTTGTTTACTACAGCTTAGCACTGATAAAAAATATATCCATTACTAAAAGTGTAACGACGTACCCAAAAATTGACCTAACTGATTTGGAATAGAAAACAACAGTTTATAGCAAGACAAAGACGGAAATTAAGTTTTAGAATAAAGCTATTTGTTGTTCACTATAGCTTGGCACTCACAGAAAAATATACAATGAATACATTACTGAAAGTGTAACGACCTTCCCTAAGATAGACACAATTTATTTTTTAAAAGACTTTTTCTGCTGGCTGAGACGAAAATTAAGTTCTAGAAGAAAGTTATTTGTTGTTTACTACAGCTTGGCACTGACAAAAAATATATAATACCTACATTACTAAAAGTGTAACGACGGACCCAAAATAAACCATACATGATTTTGGAATTTAAAACAACTTTCTACAGCTGCAAAGACGAAAATTTAGATCTAGTTCTAGAATGAAGTTATTTGTTGTTTACTACAGCTTGGCACTGATAAAAAATATATCCATTTTTAAAAGTGTAACGACGGACCCAAAAATTGACCTAACTGATTTGGAATAGAAAACAACAGTTTTTAGCTAGACAAAGACGGATATTAAGTTCTAGAATAACGTTATTTGTTGTTTACTATAGCTTGGCACTCACAGAAAAATATATAATGCATTTATTACTGAAAGTGCGACGACCAACCCTAAAATAGACATAATTGATCTTTTAAAAAGACTTTCTACCAGCTGGGACGAATATTTAGTTCTAGAATAAAGTTATTTGTTATTTACTACTGCTTGGCATTCACAGAAAAAAATACAATACTTCCATTACTGAAAGTGTAACGACAGACCAAAAAAAAATATTTAATTTGGAATTGAAAACAATTTTCTACAGCTGCAAAGACGAAAATTTGGTTCTAAAATAAAGTTATCTGTTGTTTAGTACAGCTTGGCACTGACAGAAAAATACACTTTTGATCCATTACTGAAAGTGTAAGGACCAGCCCTAAAATAGACATACATGATGTACATGTAAAGATTTAGATGAAAAAAAAAAGATTTTTTTTCCAGCTGGCAAGACGCAAACCAAGTTCTAGAATAAATCTATTTGTTGTTTACTACAGCATGGCACGGACGAAAAAATATACGTTACATCCATTACTGAAAGTGTAACGTCCTACCCTATAATAGACATATATGTGATTTGGATTTTAAGAAACAGACTTTTTCCAGCAACTGAGACTGAGAGGAAAATTAAGCTCTAGAATAAGGATATTTTTTGTTTGTACTCAGAAGAAAGTTATTGTTTACTAGCTTGGCACTGACGGAAAAATAATACTATACGTTACATTCATTACTGAAAGTGAACCGACTGACCCTAAAATAGACATACCTGTAAGTGACTTCTACGGAAAAAAAAGTATTTTTTCCAGCGAGCAAGACACAAATTTGTAGATTTTCAATAGATGCCATATGTTTAAGTGTAACTATAAAACGCCTTTTATTGTTTCACACGACATATAAATTGTAAAAACTTTACCTATATAATAAGCGTAATGTAGCGATTTCTATAGGGCTCGATTCCGAGAAGTAACTCATTTTGTCAGCAGTGTCAGTACGTTACACGTATTTCCACAGGTCCACCAAACGAGGAATCATTGGACCATAATCCAGATAGATATATCGCGACCTCAGTGCTTTCTTGTCGTATCTCCATATTTTTTAACAGTGAAAATGTGACTTCTTCTTAAGCTCACTCTTTGTTATGAAGTGTTTTCACTGTTATTTATTTATTTATTTTTTTTTTACAGATAATGACAGAAAAACTTTCATACATCCAATCTGCTGCTTCGTGTGGCTTGTCTGGGCAGTCTCTTTTTATTTTATGGCAAGTGTTTTACAGCACTCGCAACAGCATAAGGTTATAGGAGCGTGCATGACACATTACCCCTATCTGTACGTCGTGTTTTACTATCGTATCCGCACGACGTGGGGAACTCTGTGCCATCACTTTCAAAAAGAGGAAATTCACTTGTTAATCCGATCCCTGCGCTTTGCATAGCAAAATGATGTTTTGAGAAATACTGAAAGTTTCAAAGAGATCTTTGCCCTAGAAGTATTCTAAAATGTGAAAAATACGCCTGGGTTACAAAATGATCCCAGGGCGTACGGATAGGGTTAAACATTTTTAATTAGGAATTCTGCCCAAAGGGCGGCCGAAGCCTACCCTTTTCGATTTTAGGACCAGTACGGGATTTTAACGTGCACAGCATGCACACGTGACCTCCAAGATCTTTTCGCCCGTATCCGAGAAGGCTAGTGTTAGATCTTGCCTACCCCAAGACTGTCCCCCTCGTTTTATGCAAGAAAAATTCTGAAATTATGCAAACTGAGCCCAAAAATGTGAAATTATGTGATTCTGGTTTTTTTTAACAAGGAGTGTTAAAAGAAAAAAATCAGAAATTATGCAAAAAATTATCAAATTTTGCTTAATTATGCGGGGTGCATAAAACCACAGGGACAGCTAAGATCAGGGATGTGACAGTAAGAAGGAGTCAGGAGTGGCAGTAGAAAGAGTCGGGGAGTCAAGAGGTGGGGGGGGGAGGGTAGGTAGAAAGTAGAGATGAAAGAACATGACTAGAGAGCAGCAGGAAAGGAGGTGAAAGGAAAAAAATTCCACGTTGCTGTCAAGTATTGAACCCCCAACCTATTAAATGAGAGGCGAACACCATACAATGTACCTCTTGACCCAAAGAGCTCTCGAGCAGTCTTTGCCTCCACTCACATAGCTTAAGGGTACAGGTAAAATTGAAACGTAGGATAAGGGAACAGGTAAAATTAAAACGTAGGATAAGGGAACAGGTAAAATTAAAACGTAGGATAAGGGAACAGGTAAAATTAAAACGTAGGATTAGGGAACAGGTAAAATTAAAACGTAGGATAAGGGAACAGGTAGAATTAAAATTTGTCACTCTTTGCTCTTTCATTATAATTTCTTTTATTTTCATATATCAATCATTATTATACACATACGACAGTCAATAACTTGGAGACAAAAACATTTTCATCCAGTAGAATTTGAATTTTAAAAAGTATTCAAACAAAAAATTGATGTACCACGGATGAAATGCGAGAAAGACAAACGTAATGTGAAGAGCGAGGCAAAGCCCACATCTAGCAGACGTCTCTTTTGGACCAGAGAATGTGCGTCAACCTCTCAGAGACAGTGAAACATCTTCTGTTCTTCTGTAGATAACCAACTGATTTGAGGGGACATTTTCTTCCCTAGCTACCCCACACATCTAACTGCCTCTACTCCTCAAGACAAAAATAATTGATCGCTTTTAAGCACAAGTGGGCTATCCCGAAAAATGCTGTTTTGAGAAAATAGAAGTTAAAAGTTTTTGCCCCTTGTTCAGTTTCTTTAAAAGACAAGGAGAGTTTTCTCTATTACCAAACAAATATACACACCAATGTAACCAAATTTCTCCTATAGGTAGGACAATGCCTACTTTTGGTGTAGGTCAAGATTTCTGGAAACCCCTGAAATCTGAGTTAGCCTGCTCGTCCTTAAAAAATAAAAGCGACCAATTAGAATAGATATGCAGCTATTGCAGAATGGCATCACGCAGCAGAGTTAACGCTCAGATGCTACTAAATCGCTAACAACAACAACGACGACCAGAGAATGTGTCACCACGACATGATGGGCAACAAACTCCTGGTTCGACGGAGTGGGAGTTGTGAGGGTGTCCTACTGTCTCAGTGTGCATTGTTTGGGTGTCCTGCACTCTTGTCTTAGTAGACTTTTTGTGAGTGTTCTAAAGTCTTAGTGGGTGTGTTTTGCAAGTGTTCTTTAGTCCTTTAGCCTTTAGTCTAAAGGGATTGTTGTGGTGTGTGTGTGTGTGTGGGAGTGTGCGCAGGCGTGTGTGTATCCTTCATTCTCAGTAGGCCTTATGCATAGAAAGGTGTTTTAACTCACTTGAGCCTATAGATTCCCTTGTAGTTACAGGATGCGCCAGTGGCCTAATCCTGTAAATTTACGGGATGCGCTTTATCAATAATATCAATCGATTATATCTCTGGTGTATTTCAGAGCTAGTGGGTGTTGTGTGAGTGTCCCAGAGCTCAGTGGGTGTTGAGAGGGTGTGCTAGAAGAGCTCAGTGGGTGTTGAGAGGGTGTGCTAGAAGAGCTCAGTGGGTGTTGAGAGGGTGTTGTGTGTGTGATGTGTGGGTGTGCTAGAGCAGAGTGGGTGTCTTGTCTCAGAGGGTATTGTGCGGGTGTCCTTGTCCTCGAGCTCAATGGGAGTTGAGAGGGAGTCTTTGTCCTAGAACTGAGCCAGACAGTCCTCGGTGACCCCGTGAGCCGCCAGCTCCAGAACGGCGTTGTCCAGGTAGTTGGGGTCGGGGTAGCCGTGGCCCGAGTGGTTGGACACGGGCTCCGTCTTGTGGTGGATCTCATTCCAGGTGACGGTGTTGGGCTCCCCCGTGGTGTACGACGTGCCGATGGTGAACATGAGCCGCCGCCGGAACGCCACCATCAGCAGCTTCAGGAGCTGGGGACGACACAGACAGACGGACGGACAGTTAGTTTTAGTGGAGGTTTTACGGCGCTCGCAACTGCATAAGGTCAAATGAGCGCCAGAAGATTAGAGGTTTTACAAGACAGTAACAAACATAAAAAAGAAGAAGGGGAGATAAGGACGATAGATGTTTGATAGGAAAGAAACAGCAAACCAGACCAGAGCACCCACCAACCACCCACTATATGAGGTCAGACACACAGACAGACAACCGGTGAACGTGAAAGTACTTAACGATCACACAGCGTCAGATATGCACCTCCAAAAACAAAGAAAGAAAGATTTAAAAGAAGTTTTTTACCATCTAGCATAAGGCTTCTGTCAGAATGAGCATAGACGTGTGTTGCTCTTAGAGTATGTATCTATATATGTATAACTCCAAAGGTCTTGTAATTACATTTCTATAAGTGGAATTAGATACATCTGATGTGAATGTACATTTTGTCAGCTTTACTACTGGATCAATAACAACATAATCAACTTTACTTCTCTTTTTCTATTGAAACTAAACTCTTTCAGAACTAATCGTGATGCATTATGGGAAAGGTCAAGGAGACATTTTTTCTGCTCAAACAGCCACTGGGCCTGCTAGTTGTGATTGATTTTCCTGGGTTGACCTAATTTCATGTTGCCGTAAGACAACTGCCCAGTAAGTGAAGGGGAGTTCGCTGCTGGAGCACTCAGCAATGAAGGAGTTAACCCTATCCGTACGTCGTGTTTAACTATCGTATCCATACAACGTGGGGAACTCTGTGTCACCACTTTCCAAAGAGGAAATTTACTCGTTAATCCGACCTGTACGCTTTGCATAGCTGTCTGTCAAAATGATATTTTTTAGAATTACTGAAAGTTTCAAAGGGATCTTTGTACTAGAAGTATTCTAAAATGTGAAGAATACAACCCCGGGGGTACAAAATAACCCCAGGGCGTATGGATAGGGTTAAAAGCCATTTACACATAAAGAAGAATTGCCGCGGTTGACCCTTTGATTTTAAGGGCATTACGGCATATTGCAAAGGCAGTAAGGCAAATTGCCGCGGTGCCGCAGTCTATTTTAAGCTGTGACTTTGTCATCACGCCCCACAAACGCTCACCTTCCTGCCCTGGTCACAGTCGGGTATGAAGCCTCTGCGCGGGAAGCCCCTCGTGGAATACCTGGCGCCTGGCTGGGGATGCTCCGGGCCCTAGACGCACAGACAGACAGAATACCGCATTACAACACATGGACAGACAAACACAGACACAGAACACGTCATTACCACACACAGACAGAACACGTCATTACCACACACAGACAGAACACGTCATTACCACACACAGACAGAACACGTCATTACCACACACAGACAGAACACGTCATTACCACACACAGACAGAACACGTCATTACCACACACAGACAGAACACGTCATTACCACACACTGACACACAGAGACACAGAACACGTCATTACCACACACTGACACACACAGAGACACAGAACACGTCATTACCACACACTGACACACACAGAGACACAGAACACGTCATTACCACACACTGACACACAGAGACACAGAACACGTCATTACCACACACTGACACACACAGAGACACAGAACACGTCATTACCACACACAGACACACAGAGACACAGAACACGTCATTACCACACACAGACACACAGACAGAACACGTCATTACCACACACAGACACACAGACAGAACACGTCATTACCACACACAGACACACAGACAGAACACGTCATTACCACACAGACACACAGACAGAACACGTCATTACCACACACAGACACACAGACAGAACACGTCATTACCACACACAGACACACAGACAGAACACGTCATTACCACACACAGACACACAGACAGAACACTTCATTACCACACACAGACACACACACACAGAGACACAGAACACGTCATTACCACACACTGACACACACAGACAGAACACGTCATTACCACACACAGACACACACACAGACAGACAGACGTCATTCCCACACACAGAACACGTCATTACCACACACAGACACACACACAGACAGACAGACGTCATTCCCACACACAGACACACACAGACAGAACACGTCATTCCCACACAAGCAATCAATATATGTGAGGCAGCCTGGTGAAATGAGGCACTCGTCAAAATAACGAAATCGGAAAAACAGGCATTTTCCCACCACTTTGGACATTTTTATTAAATTTTCATTTTTTGGCTCAACGTCTTGTACGTCCATATAAAGACACACTTTCCTGTGAGTTTTACTGAAAAACGTTGATTAAAGGCACAAAATGTGTCATTTTTCAGTTTTCAAAGACTTTTTAGCTATTGGAGTTTTCAAACTTTAGCGGCCATTTCCCCACTAATTTCAACCCTGAATATTGAGGACCTCACCTCTTTCAATCACAAATATAATTAAATATCTTGAGTTCTATTCAAGATAAATAAATGTTTATTTCACTGAAACAAGGCAAATAAATCAGCTTTCACATGCCGAAAAATTGACGAGCGCCTGATTCCACCGTGTCATGACACATACCATTATCCATTATCTTATTTCAGCATCCGTATCAATCATTCTGTCTCTCTCCCTCCCACACTCCATCCTTTCACTCACTCTCTTTCCCTCCCACACTCCATCCTTTCACTCACTCTCTCTCCCTCCCACACTCCATCCTTTCACTCACTCTCTCTCCCTCCCACACTCCATCCTTTCACTCACTCTCTCTCCCTCCCACACTCCATCCTTTCACTCACTCTCTCTCCCTCCCGCACTCCATCCTTTCACTCACTCTCTCTCCCTCCCGCACTCCATCCTTTCACTCACTCTCTCTCCCAAGCTGTCTCTTCTAACACGTTTTCTCACTCACTCATGTCCCATATTTCTCTCTCTCTCCCTCCCTCCCCTCTCTCTCTCTCGCCCTTCCTTTCACTCTGACCCATACTGTTTTTCACCTCTTTCTCCCCCTCTCTCTCCCTCTCTCTCTCCCTCCCTCTCTTCCCCCC